CTATATAAGAAAAAGCGCCTTTCAAAAAGTGACAGAATTCCCCCAACCTAATAAAAAGCAACCACATCAAAGGCAGCGCCCACGTTCATTTGATGTTCCCGCGCCCTCTCTGGATATCATAGCCCTCCCTATGAGGATGCAGTATGTACTAGTTTTGCATCTCAAAAAGGCGAGAGGATAGCGCCGTTCGCTAGTGAAGAGTCGGCCGCCCCGCCCACCTGGCCATAGGGTTCTATATAGGGCATTTTCCATGATTTTTTTTCTGTTTTTTCTTCACTACTGGATCACGTATTATATGAGCTCCATAACTCATTATTCTTGAAAGCGGGCTCAGCCTTTAAAGGCTAAGCCAAAGCAGTTATGGCAGCCAGGTGGGCGGGGCGGCATCCTCTTCACAAGCGGGTGGCGCCATCCTCTCGTATTTTTGAGCTGCGAAATTAGTAAATCACCCTCGTCGAAAAAGCTACGATATAGGAGGGCGTAGGAACATCAAGTGAACGCAGGCGCTGCCTTAAAAGCGTTCTCAAAGGCTTCCACTCTTTCTTCTAGGGAACTTATGACCAAGTGGGTGGGGTCGCTACAGCGGACCGACGCCATCTAGTGGCCCTTTCACTTTCAAATTGTGAAAAGATCGTGTGATTGCAGACACTGTATAAAGAAGGGATCTATTCATGAAGCAATCACGATCTGCATCTCTGAAGATTTATGAACACCAGATACGTCATCGCGATGGAAGGAGGAGAATGAAAAGGAAGACTCTCACTCATAAAAAACAAATTTCTCTCTCAAGCGAGAAGGGTCTCCTTATCAAGTGTCAGAAACAGCAGACTTGCCTCGCAGCCTACTGGGGTATGTAGTATCGTTTTATGTGCAGTACTAATTAGAAATTACCACACTGTGAATCCCAATAAGGAGAACCAATTGCTTTCGAATGGACATAACAACTGAATAGACTGTCTCCTGGCTGTTGTAATTATAGCGAACTTCTTACGTTAATAAGTTCTAAGTTACCTAAGGTATCTCGATTGATCACCAACATCGTGAATGATCTTTTTTCAAAGTTCCAAGCCGCCATCTCAAGCATCTGGGCAGTCTAAGTCTAGAAGTGCATGTATGTTAATAGAATAACTCGCAGAAATTGTGTTACTGCGGGAAACCGAAAATGTCCATGTACGTTTTCTGCATGTATTTTGGAAATTAGGATGGACATTAACACATTGACGACAGCGTGATACGCATTTAATGCGCGCTTTGTGGGCCACGTGGGACCGCGCGAATTGTATACGAATCACGATCAACAAATCCATATCTTTCACTAGTGCATGATTTTTTGTTTAGTTTCTCCTATTCATTCTATAGGCCAGTCCTTAGTATACTCGTACAACACGTGGTCCATGGAATAAGTTAGTACACAAGTTTAGCAAAGATTTCCTGTGGAAAGAGCACTATAAGCTTGAATTGGTTTGCTCCTCAACTTTGGATTGTTGCTGCTCAACTTGCTGTTCAACTCCTTTGCCAACAAATACAGACAATTACGACATTGATAAATGATGAAAAAATTATTAAAGCTCCTATAGAAAGCACGATTTGCGTTTTTTATGAAAAAAAATTGGTTACAGACAAATTCCTGGCCCTGGTGCAAAGAGAGTTGGCCAGCCCAGATTTTTCCATAGTAAATAATTGACTTACTTCACAATCGCTCTCTAAACCAGGTTTTTCGATCCAATCTCCAAAAAAGCGCTTCGTGGGACGGCTTGAATTGTATGCGTACCGCGCTTGTGGCGTTCAAGAAAGCGCGCGTGTCCCACGAGGCCGAAAAGGAAAACCCGCGTTGTCGTCAACGTGTGAATCGAGCATCGCCCTGAAAGAATTATGCACTCGACTCTAATCAAATTCTCTGGAACTTCTCACACCCTCCTGCTTTGTACTGAGTTTTAGCAGCGCTCGTCTACGACATAAGTGCAAGGTGTATGAAGTGAGTTAGAGAAATTTCATTTCAGGACAGAAACCTGGGCCGGCAGTGACAAATTGAAATGCCGTTCACAGCGTTATCGTCACTTCGTATGTGTTTTTGGCGTAGAGGATTTCGTCTGGCTCGCTAAGCATCCGAAGTTAATGGCTAACAAAGTAAGAAGTACAGTGACTTCTTAGAGAAGATATTAAGTGCTCTTCAGATGATGCCTTCGATCGACTTTGGCGTTGTGGATTGTATGCATGAGCTCATATTCAATCGTACCCATCTTGGACAAATCAATCACATATGGGATTTGAAGGAGTACGAAAAGCAACCATATGTGAGACCTTTTTTCAATTTGAAGCACGTCGACAAACAGAAAGGATTATTAGTGAGCATTATAGGGTGTGGTGAATGGGAAAATGAGGAGATGGGATATGATTGCTACCAGTATAAATCACTGATTGATAAGTTGAT